TAAAAAGCTCGAGCTCGACTCGATAAGGGTACTCACCGGTAATTTCTCAGAATTTATTTACCTATATTAGTAATTTTATATATAATTTTTTTAAATTTTTTTTTATTTTTTATGTGATACTCGATAGAACTCGTCGAACTCTCGAGTATCAAATTTCTGAGCTCGATCTCGACTCGATAGCTCTAACGAGCAGCTCGAGATCGAGCTCGAGCTCGAGCTCGAGTTTCTGATCGAGTACATATCGAGCTCTAGTCGAGTAGCTTGAATCAGCTCCACCCCTAGATATTGCCAGTAGTGTCTGCCCGCCCCGTCATTATAGTTGACACTTGTCTATCACGTATATGCATACCCTTTTCTTTTTCTTTTTTTTTTTTTGTAAGAACTATCATTGAAAAATTGCAATGAATCATTCCTCTTATCGTAATAGTATATATATATATATATATATATATATATATGTTTACTGTATATAAAATTTATTTTTTTTAAATGTATAAAATATAAATTTTTTTGAATAATGCATATAAACGTGTCTTATATAGATATAATACGAGTATTTATTGAATATTAGTGCTGTTATACACATCTTTGATGATGAGTGATGAGACTGGGACATTGGTTTCTACAGACTAGGGTTAACATTTTTTAGTGAGTACACAGTATTGTGATGTACAATTATTTCCGAAAAAAACTCTCTTACAAAAATTTTAAATCATGAATGGTAAATATGGGTAATTACATTTACAGCCTGCAGATTTTTAGATGCATCTTCCATGTGAGAAGTACAAGGAGACAGGGGATCGATCCATTTAACACACCACAAATGACACACTTGACTGTGCATGTGATATAAGAGTAATTATATATGTCCAGAATTGACGTGCACTTTTCTTTACATGTATGTATGATTTTTGTCTAGCTGAAGATGCGGCGAGAGTCGGCAGACGCTATACAAGTTTGAGTTTTGCGTATGGTACATCGCGTATGTAAATTGAGCCAAGCGGTAAAAACTGGATTGAACTTTCTCTCTCTTTGGAAAAAAAAATTTAATATAACTTATTGTAAAATTTGTAAAAAAAAAAAATTCTAATGTGTGTAAAAACTTTCCTTTTTTCATTGGGTTATTATCATTTTATCCCTTAAACTATATCACTACTATCAGTTTACCCCCTAACGTTATTTTTGAGTCACATCACCCCCATAAATAATTCAATTCAACATATTAAGAAATTTTGGACAAAAATACCCTTTTATTCTATAGCATTACTACATTGTTATTATTACTTTATTTCTTTAAATTATAGTGATATAATTGTTTTAATTCTTAACATTATTTCTAGGCATCTTACTTCATCGTTAATCTAACTAGTATGGTAAAAAAATTTTAAATATATTTACCCTTATATATATAATTAAAAATAAAAAGTTGGAATGATTATTCTTCTTTTTTTCACTTTAAGAGATTCAAAAATATAAAAATAAAAAGATTTTCTCAAATTTCTTTTTTCACACTTATTAATACTAGGAAAAGAAAAAGAAATAGGAAAGAATGAGGCAGAAAATTAGATTGTGCAAAGAAACAATAAAGAAAAGTCTAATATTATTGTATTAATTTAAGACTATTGAGATTGGAATTGAAATCTGATGGTAAACAGTAAAGTGAAATAATTTTAAAATAATAAAAGCATTTAATTCTTTCTTATTTGTTTTTTTTTTTAAAAAAAAAAGGAATTGAGCTCTCTCTCTATCTCTCTCTCTCTCTCCCTCACCATCTTTCTTTTTTTTTTAATATTAATAAGATTGTCAAGAAGAAAGAAATTAATATTTTGACTTTTTTTCTTGATACTAAAGAGGAGAAGAGTCACACTAAATTTTTTATTATTTTTATTATACAAAGAGGAGAGTACTTTCTTCTAAAGTTTTTTAACTTGCTAAATTGGTTTAATGGTAGGATAAATTATCTAAAAAAATTTTATGAGTAAATTGATAATGAGGCCATAATTTATGGAGGTAAAGTGATAATAACTTTAAGGGCTAAACTTGTCTTTTCACTTTAATTAACAAACTCCGTTAAAATTGATCGTTAGTATTGAGGATAAAGTGACTAAAAGATAATGTTAAGGGAGAAATTAATAGTGATATCTAACGTTAAGGGGGTAAAGTAATAATAACCCTTTTTCATTTGTCTTTTCTTTTTCTCTTTCCTTTTGCTTTTCTTGCCTCTTTTTCTCCTCCCTAACTTCCCATTGTCCACTGTGGTTGGCAGGGTGAAGAAGGTGGCGGGAGAAAAGGAAGGAGGGGAGGAAGGGGAAGAGAGGAGGAGGGGAGGAAGGGAGGAGAGAGAGAGAGAGAGGAAAAAAAGGGGACAAAACAAAGAAAAAGTCGGCACTGGCATCAGTGGAGGCGTCTATTAGTGGCGGAGGTGGTGGTGGGTTGAGATTGAAGGGAGGAATAAAAAGAAAGGAAAGAAGGAATTTTTTTTGTGTTTTTTCTTTTAGCATTTTGATGTGCATATTTTGAAAATTTTTTAAGTTTATTGTAATAAAAGTTGTTAAAATACTTATTGAAGAAAATTTTGACCAAAAAAAAACTCACTTTCCAAAGAGAGCTTTGATTATTAGGCAATTAGCCACAACAACGAATGCCGGAGTAAGGATGCTACCCACAAAAAGAAAAAGAAAAAGAAAAGGCTGGAGAAAGGAACACACGGAGTAAGGTAGCCATCACGGGTAAAGCTAGGGCAGCACTATTGCCGTTGGAGCCTTTGAAGGGACAAAGTTGATGTTGAGGAACGTACACGAGGCAAATATTCGAGACGACTTCTCAAAAGGAAGATCTCCATTTTGCAAGGGGATAAACAAATTTCGAGTTAGATAGCTCCAAAAAAGGCCTCATTGTTGATTAAATCTTGATTAGCTACTATAGCCTCTAAACGTCTGCATCTTTTGTTTAAAATATTTTCCTTCCTTTTTTGGTTGCCATAGACTCATGATGGCCTCATAGCCACTGAATTGGGAGATAAGTTGATTCCTTTTCTCAGTTTCTTAATGCTCAATTATGTCTCTTAGTCTCTTACTTTAAAGATTAACTACTATCTCATTTAAGGTTGTAAACAAATCGAGTTCGATCACGAACGACTCGAGTTCGGTCAATATTGAACTCGAGTCGAATTCGAACTGATCAAGTCAAATTTGAGTTTAAAAATACTAATTCGTTAACTCGTAAGTTGGCTCAAATTCAATATATATATATATATATATATAATATTTTATTGTTTATTAAAAAAATTCAAAAATACTAACTTGTTAGCTCGCAAGTTGGCTAAAATTCGATTGCGGGCACACACATATATATATATAATATTTTATTATTTATTAAAAAAATTCAAAAATACTAACTTGTTAGCTCGCAAGTCGACTCAAATTCGATTGCTTATATATATATATATATATATATATATATATATATATATAATATAATAATATATATAACATTTTATTATTTATTTTAAAAAATATTATTTTATTTATTAAAAATAAATAAAATAATATTTTTAATATTTTTTTAAACTTGAGGTTGAACTTGATAATTTGAACTCATCGAACTCAACCTCGAGTTCGAGATTCTTAAAATTATATTAAATGCAAAAGTAACACCAAACACACCGGCCCAAACGAGCAATCTAAGGTGAGACTCACGAGAAACATCCATCTAGTCAATTAATGACAGGAGAATGCCCCCATGAACCTTAAATCCAGGATAAAGACCCCATGATCTTTCGATGTGGGATAGGAGAGCTGCAGCACGGTACTCTTCCTTTTTTTTTTTTTTTTTTTTTGTTGTTATGCTTTCTTTCTTTCTTAATGAAGATTTGCTTTACCCAAGGAAAACTTTAAAAAAAAATCAATATGACAGAGGTCAGACTGTGGCAGCTTTTGGAATTCCACTGTTCAACAAGGAGGCATCTTTCCCGTTCCCCGGCGGGCATAAACATATCCTCCAACAACAGTCTGCAATCTCGTGCGTTAGTCCGCTTACTTTTACTGTCGGTAACTCGACGCACCACTGTAGTACTAATAGTTGTGCTTCCTTTTTGGTTTTTGGGGGTTCAGGTAGATGTCATACCGCTTTAGCTTCTGTGGATTAAGGTTAGTAAACTATCGTAAAAATCTTTAGACTTTAGTAAAAAAGACAGACTGGCCATACCGACTTTAATAGGGGGTCTTTATTCCTTAGTAGCAGCTAAGCTGCATAGGCTAGTCAAGTCCCACATCGGTGTCTAGAGGGGTTTGAGGTTAGGATATTAGTCTCCTCATGAACCACATAAATTACCGACTTTTGTGATTTTCTGTGGATTACGGTTAGTAAACTACCGTAAAAGTCTTTAGACTTTGGTAAAAAGGGTAGATGTCAATTTTCAAAAGAGTAACAAGTTTTATCATTTCCTTGAACAGTTGCCTTGTAATGTGACTCATATTGCTGGCTTCTTTCTAGCATTCAGTCACCATGAGAAATCTGAAATCCGTTATGGATTGGGCATTCCTGTGCTTTTCTCTTGCTTTTTTCAGCCCAATATGATCTCATGGAATAGCGAGCTCTTTGTGGGCTTCAGTCTCCCATTTTACGCTTTTATGCTGATCTGATGGTCCATTTTTATTTCCATTCCTCATAAAAGAAGTTCGAATGTGGGAAAATGCTTCAAAGAAAAAAGAGAATTTGGGAAAGAATATGGGGACGCTTATGTTAGCTCTCATACCATACTAATCAATACATGGATCGTAAAGAACAAATACTTTGCCAAGAAGAAAAATGTGATAATTACATTCCATAGCTGAGCTGGAACAATACACCAACAGCAACAGCAACAACAACAACAACAACAACAAATGGTTGCGATCATCCAATGGATAACTTGCGGTCACAGCAAACTTTCAACAAAAAATGAAATAGTTACTACTAACAACCAATCGGGAGCGTACTTGGATCAATTTAGTGCTACTTTACTTCAGTGTGAGGCCAGAAGAAAAGGCAATTCCGGCCATGTTGGCACCCTTCATTTTGCAATCCGGAATTGGAACCCAATTCCAAATCCTGCTTTCTAATTCATAACATAGCCACACAATGTCCCATACGCCCTCCAAGTTGGACATCAGGATGGCTCTGACAACTCCCAGCCTTTGCTCCAAACACCCCATCATAGCCCCATAAGGCTTCCTAATTTTCTCAACCAGTTCATTCGGAACCGTTGATATCAGTTCCCAATGCCCCCCACTTGAGCTCAGCCCCCACAGCTCTAACCCATTCAACATCCTCATCACCCTGCTATTCCCATCTTCAACGCCGTCGGATCTCACGATCATCGCCTTCCCATCGCCGTACACGTATAGCCGATCAATCGCATTTCCCCAGCTAAATCCAACAGCTAGCTGTCCCCCTTCATTTCCTCCCCATCCCACAAATCTTGGCCGTACAACCGCGGCCGCGTCACGTTCATCTTGGTCGGCAGTCCCTTTGCCTTTGGCAATGATCACACTTCCACTGGTTCCATTGTATGCGCTCAGATAAATGGTACCGTAATCTCTCCCTGTTTCGGCACTGACAACATTTTCTCCTGCTTCAGTGGAGCTCCACTCATTGCTTCTGGAATCATACTCGAATAGAATTGGTTGATTTTCCCGCATTTCTGCGAATAAAAATCGAAAATGATCTGAACCTGGGGGGCCAGATAGTAATTTGATGCCCGATCGTCGCCAGGATGACGTGCCCCGTGGACCTAATGGACTTGGGGGGATTTTCTTAACCGTTTTGGACATGGGGTTAACTGAAATAACTTCCAGGCGGTTATTCAAGGCAAACAGAAAAATATTACCCGATGCCGTCAGCAAGTACAGGTCCTCCCCTGGTGGAGCCACTGACTTCAACATATCAGAAATCAGAATCTTGAACCATCGATTGGAACAATTGGTGTAGCCCTGAAGCATGGAATCCCGATGCCATCTCTTTTTGTATATAAATAGCCAGGTGGCGGAGCTGGAATGGAGATTATAGTCTCGGACAAAGTCTTGGTCCGAGATCATCGATGAGATGGATTTGTTGACCGATTTTAATCGGACAATATCAGGTAAAGCCAACCGGAGAATTATGTACTGTATGAGTTCCGATGGGAGTAGACAAAAACCGATGGCATTCGTGGTCAAACTCCGATAACCCTCCATAACTAAAAGGAGAGACAATCTGGGCTGCTGGGTTTTGCTTCTGTGCAGAAGTTCAAGTTCTAGAGGAGGATGCTTTCATTTATATTGTGATAGTCAACTTGGATTTACCAAATTGTTTAAGTAAACATGCTTTTTAACTACATGCATAATGGCTTAGATTTATAGCAAATTAACGTCACCAAGGAAAAGACAAGTTGTGCTTACAAGGCACCTGATGGCTGATGCTGATTTAATGGTCACAGTTTGGAGAAAACTAGAAGGCATGCGATTTAAACAAGACAGAAGGGGTTGACGAAATTGATTGGTGGAGATTGATGAGTCGGGCAAAGTAACTAAAATAAGTGAAATCCTAGAGCAGTTGTTGGTATCTTTTTTCATATATAAACAAGGTTGGACGGATCATTCATGGTGGAGGTGCTACGGAGGATGGGAGGCTTCCTTTGATGTTGACGCTCTTCTAGTGGCTTTGCTTTAAAGAAGTGGATAATGGAGAACTAATCAGACAGAATTGAACTATGACCTCTGTTACTGTTTACTAATGTATTTGACGCAGGCAAAATACAATAGTTTGGATTAGTTATTTTTCGAGATATTTTTCAGAAACTTTATTGTTTTTATATATATGAAAAATTTTCACTGTAAATATTTTTAAGAGTTTTTAAAATATATTTTAGTTTATTTTTATAATTTACAACTTTTTGGGGTATTTTTTTTTAATTTCACACAACCCATTGCCACCACCCCTCTCTCCTCTCTCTCCCTCTGCTCCTCCTCTCTCATTTCTCTCCCTCCTCCTCCCTCCCCTCCTTTTCTCCGCTCCCAAATTCCTCTCCCACTCGTATGTGGTGGTTACAACTCCAGTCACAAGTAGAAAGGTTCCGGTCGCAGCCAGGAAGGTCGTGGTCAGTGGAGAGAAAGGGGGATTGGGGGGCAAGGAAAGGGAAGAGAGAAGGGTGGAAGGAGAAGGGAGAGAAAGAAGAAAAGAAGAGAGGAAGAGGAGGAGAAAGGAGGAATGGTCTTGGGTGTAGGGGTGATGACGGTGGTAGTGAAGGGTGATGGGTGATGGTGGTGGATAGTGTGTGAAAGAAGAAAGAAAAAATTTTTTTAGTAATATATTTGAGATGTATTGTATTTTTTGAGTTGTTTTTAGAATTTATCTATATCTATATAAATTTGAAAAGGGATTTTTAGCAACAAACCTCCACATATCTTCCCACTACCAATTCTATTTTTCTAGCATGTCACATTTAATTTAATTTATAAAATATATTTCTCTTAACTTCTACATCTACTTTTCACATTTGAAATTGTTAGTTACTTTTTAAAATCATTTCATTTCAAACTGTTGGTTAACGTGTATGATATCATATTGGAACTTCAACCTATCACGTTTTCAATTGTCTTGCGTTATTAATGATTCTACTCCAATTAAAACTTCCATAAGACCATAACAAGAGATAACAAACATAATATCCTTTCATACTTTCTTTTTAATTTAAATAAGTGAGATTATTTATACTCCATTTTGTTATTCACACTTCAATAATCATTTTGATCATATAGTTTTCATTAATTAGACAATATGATAAAATAAATGGTGGAATTGCAAATAATAAAAATTTTAGTGCAAATAACATTTTCCTAAATAAAAAGTGGCTTCCACGCCTTTCTAATTTAAATAAGTAAGAAGTGGCTCCACTTATATAGGAAGTTGATTTGAAGTTTATTAGTGGAGGGTAAATAAAGAGAAAATATTACCAAACTTAGTAAAAGTAAAAAAGTAAATGATAATACTTTATCTTTTAACTTAGTAATGCTAAGTAAAAGAGCAAAATTAAATAGAAAACAAAAAAGAAGGATTTAAAAAATCAAGAATTGTACCATTCATAAAATTACTAAATAAAAAACAAAGTGGTACTGGCCTTTTAACTTGGAAATTTTTTTTTAAATATTCATTTTTGATAAAAAATAATGATAACAACAACACCAATTCTACCAAAAAAATTTAAAAAGTAACATTATAGTTTAAGAGAAAAACATAGAACATTCGACCCTAAAATACTACTTAATTTGTATATATCTGGCCCAAATTTGACCCTTTAGACTTGAATAAGAGTGCAAAACCCAAACACTAAGGATAACTTTTGGTATCATTAATTATTTTATGTATTTTTATTGTTGTCTTCATATAAAAATATGTATTTTCTATATTAAACATATATATATTGGTTGTAGTACTTGAGGATATTATAGATATTATTAGTTTTCATTTTCATTTTTAGATACTAATAATTGCAACCATTGTAATCAATTTTCAATTTTATATTTTCATTATGATAGATAAAGTTAAATATATTGGGTCGCAAGGATACGAATTTAGAGATTGGGTATGGGGGGAAGATGGAGGAAAAAAATGGTGAAGAGTTGAAAAGTGGCGAGAAAGATTGAAAAAAAAAATGTGGGTTATAAGGATGGGTAGAAAAAGGAGAGAAGAAAAAAGGGAATTGTCGGGATATGACAGATATGACAAAAAAAAAAAACAATAAAGAGAGTGGTACCATGATAGAAAATATGAAATTCTAGGAGGTATCTCATGACTAGCCGGCAGATAAGAGAAGAGGGAAATGATGGTGATGTTTAATAATTTTGAGAACTCTAAAAACATATATTACAGAGATTTTTTTTAATATACGTTAAAGTTTATGAAAAATACTAATCTAAATGCTGTCAACAATCTTAGCGGTACAAGATAGGAGAAAGATTTTTTTTTTCTAAAAATGGAAGAAAATAAATTGGTTATAATTTTTTTTATATTATAAGTTTTGATATACGGGTATAGCATGAGATGTTTTGTCAGGTACTGATAAATTGATTTTTTAAAGAAAACTCTTTTCACCTTACCACCCAACCTAACCCTTTCCTTAAATGTGTTAACAATTCATCTATCATATAAATCATTATAAATTAAAATTTTTTCAATATGTCAAGCATACATTTCTTTAAAATTTTTAGTCTATATATTATTATTCTGTACCACAATATATAAAGATATACAATATTATTTTGATTTGAAATATAATCCCGTGCATAGCACGGGTCAAAATACTAGTTACTGTAAATTTAAAAGACAAAAACAATTTTTTAAAAAACTGTTAAATCCAAACGGAGCACTTTTCAACAATAGGGCGTATTTGGGCTAAATTTAGATCGCTCTCATTTTAATTTGGAGAAAACCCCAAAAAAGTCAGACCACTCTCCTCGCAGCACGATTGAAACTTTGATTTCGAGGTCTCATGGATGTTTGTGCTGTTTGAGGAATAATTGAGTGATGAGAATTTGCAAACTTGAGGGCCAATGTCAATTGTATGAAGGCCTGCTGAGGAGCAAGGGACCTACTCTACCTAAAAAAGAAGAGCAAACTTTAGGGCCAATCAGACTATTTTGATCAATTGATTGAAGGCTTGTTGAACAGCAAGGGACCTGTTCTACCAGAAAAAGAAGAGCAGGGGACCTACACATACAGTAAAATGCCTGCACGGGCTCATCAACGAAAATAAAGTAGGGTTTCGATGGTCCTCGTGGCTGGAATAGCTTGTGAATGCTTTTGCAAAATACAGATTGTGCTTCACGGGATCCTGATACACTTTATGGAATGCCAAGAAAACACACTTTCAGTACTCGTATCTGCAGACTGCAATGCGTAAGTTGAATTCCCATATGGAGTGAAGATTAGTCGCGAAAAAAGAGATGCAAAAATCTGTTTTGAGATAAAGATAGTGAAAATACAGTAGTGTGTTTAAAGAGTCGACATAGAATCATTTTTCAGAAACAAGTTATCAGGTGAGAATTATTTCTTCTTCAAATTCTGCTGAGGCAGGAATGCAAATTTTGATTTGATGCCTTTTGACATTAAGTGCAGAGCAGTTTCCACAATTTTGTCGTCCTTTAGCTGGACGTTGCCATAAAAATCTTTCTGGACAATGAATCTACAGAAAACGCAAGTCACCACCCTAAATAAATATTCAGAAGTTGGAATATTCGCGTCTAAACATAAGCTTGCCGGCACCTATCTATATCAACAGAATAGAGGGTATTTTAGACTTCGAAGCACACAATCGTACCCTCCAGTTCGAAGAACAATAAAGTTTTGACTCGCCAGTTCTCATAGCAACAGTCATCCATGCAGTTGAATCACTGCACAGCAGATTCCAGCATGGCAAAAGCTTAAACTCACGATATCTGAAATTCCGGGGAACATTATGCCACGGGACAAGAAGATTATTGACACGGCTATAAACAAATCATACACTTGAATAACCTAAAAACCAAAACCATTTTTGGAACTGCGACCAAGGATAGGAAGAAAATGAAAGATGCAGAAAGAGCGAGAAGCAGGGAAAGCAAAGAGTCTGTACTTTTCTCTGAAGAGTAAAACAAACACGGAAGAAAGTGATTGTCACTCACATTCATTCCCTACATTTTTCTCCAAGCAAAGAACCGAAAAACTTCAAAATTCTTCTCTATTGGTAAGTCATAGATTTTGGTACCAAGTTGCTATAACCAGGTTGTCTATTTCGAGACAAAGGATGCAAGTGACTACAGTAAAAAAGGTTCGAGACCATCAACTGTTATTAAAAGATCGAAAGCACGTTGAAAGGTGCACAGTTGATACAGTTACTGATTGAGCAGAACAAGAGAACAGAAGTGGCCAGTATCTGAAGGTAATTGATGCTTCAGAAAAGAGGCCAATCTTAATGGTCTAAAAAGGAAGGGGGGCGGAAGGAGAAACGTGGATTTCATGGTCTTGAACAAAATGTACCAAGAGATCAGGAGCTAAAAGGTTGTATCGCAACATATGATATGATGGTATTCCAGATGTTTTATTCCAAATCAAGTTTACAGATAGCCAAACAGTGTATATCAAGATAAGCAAAGCACATAGCACCACTATGAGTGGGACAAAGATAGTATATCCAATCATTGAATATCAAAAATAGACC